GACATTGAGCCTCAATCCATATTGGAGGCTGCAGTCCTTGACCCTCTGCAGCAAGCGCTTCAGGTCCTCCTCAGTTTCAGCAAGCAGGGTTGTGTCATGTTTTCATAATTGAGTATTAGGAACATTTTTAAAAAATCCATTGGCTTTGAAAGAATAAATTTAGCCACACATATACCAATTTATTGACTGGTCTTTTCTTTTGAGAGGAAGTGGTTTCCTTATTGATTTTAAGCCATTCTTAGTTTTTTCATCAAGGGATTCATTTGAGTGCATCAGTGGCCTTTGGAGGTTGAGTCGGGTCCACGTTCAATATAAATAGTTCCAATTCATTTTCCTTTGTTTTCTTCACAGATTGACGCTCTACCAGAAATTGTGGAGGCTGTGGAAGGAAAGGTGGAAGTGTTCCTGGATGGAGGTGTGCGGAAAGGCACTGATGTGCTCAAAGCTTTGGCCCTGGGGGCCAAAGCTGTATTTGTGGGGAGACCAGTGATATGGGGCTTGGCTACCCAGGTAAGCAAAGAAATACATCTAGAAAACAAGATAATTTTTATAGTGAAATAGATAAATGAAATAAGTCAATCTTAGTTTTTGCATCTTCTACTTGTTTAGGGGGAGAAAGGTGTCCAAAATGTCCTTGAGATATTAAAAGAAGAATTTCGATTGGCGATGGCCCTGAGTGGTAAGAGTTGCCATCCTCATTTACTATATTAATTTTTTCCAACAATCTTTAAGTCATGTCTTTGGAACCTAAGGAGTACCTAGTAAGCCAATGCTTAGTGGATTTGTCTGTTAACCAAAAATTGTGGGTTCAAGTCTACCAGAAGTACCTGTTGTTGTTGATTGCCATCAAGTTGAGCACAACTCATAGTGACCCCATGAACAAAAGGCCTGACGCCCTTCTATGACTATTGTAATTTATCAAAATTCATAGAGTTTTCAGAGGTGTGTTGTTTAGGAAGTGGGTGCCACTCCTGTTTCCAAACCTGTCTCAAACTAGGAGCTCCACCAAACACTCCATTATGGGCAACTGTTATGGCATTTGACACCACAATAGCACAACAACCCTAGGTTACCTCAATACAGCACATTGACAGAAGAGTGCTGTACCGCTTAGAAGAATATTCCTCCAAAATATAGTAACAACTAACTTTTAAATGCAAAAGCCCTCCCTGAGGTATTGAGGTACATACGTATTAAAAACTAGTGATAGAAAATTCTATGGAGCACATTTTTACTCTGACGTGTTATCACTATGAGTCAAAGCCACCTAGACAATGAGAAGAAAATTGGAGATAATATATGCCTACCCTTTTGTTGTCTGAGTGGCTTTATGTTAGCTCAGTTTTGCTATTATGCATTTTACTCATTTTGATGTTGTGTGTAATTTTATTTCACACATAATTGAGAAATAATCAGTAAGTAATATCATTAATTAGTGAACAAATGAAAAAAAATATTAATATACTTAAATATCAATTGTATATTCTATATACTTTGAGGATATTATGACTATAAAAGAAGATATAATCTTTATCATCAAGGAAATCGCAATTTGTCTGAGCCTTTGAATGCTTACATATGTAAATATTTCAATGAATACTGACTGTGATTTTATGGGCTCAGCTATGTCAGAGATGATGAGGTTGGTGCAAGATAGGATAAGGTTCAGATCTGTTGGTCAACAGGTTGTTATGAGTTGTAGTCAATGGCATATAACAATGACAACAAACGTAGTCCATAAGGAATTGTGCTGCTAACCCTAAGGTGGTCAACTTAAGTCTACTGGTTGCTTTGTAAGATATAAATAGGTAATCTCCTCCTGTGTGACTTACAACCTCCAAAAACTCACTGGGAAGTCAGCTGTAAGTCAATTCAGATTTGACAGTAAAGAGTTTGTGACTTTTTAAAATTATTAAATCGCTAAATTAGAGATCTTTGCTAGGTATTGAAAGTGACATGAAGAAAATGATTGCATAAGGAGCAGCAGCAATATAGGCAAAGTCAAGTCTGTCTTCTACCTGCTTCATAAAGGGGAACTGGCCCCATCAATAGCATTCATAGTACCTCACAAATAGCTAGATGATCAAATATACCACCATTGCATGCTCCTGCATGTATTTCTACCAATTATTGTGTCTGGCTGGGTTTAGAAGGGGTCGTGGTACTAGAGATATTGTAGCTGATGTTAGATGTTAGATGGATCTTGGCTGAAAGCAGGGAATACCAGAGGAATGTCTATCTGTGTTTCATT